TTTCATACAACTCAATAATGCTACACTGAGAATTTTGGTCTGATAAACATCCCCTTGTCTACATTTCTCTAGAACAAAAATGGAATATTGCTGTGACCTTCTCTTATGAAGACAGAGCAAACTATCATGCAACCTCAGTGGGGTGCCCAGACTGTTACATAGCACTGTATATACGCCCTAGTTATCTGCCTGACTATCATTAACTTTGAATTAGAAAAGGGACTTAGCTTTCTTATCAATCCAATTCAATCCAAATAAAATATGCCACAATCAGGAGCCAAGTAATGATTCAATTGGTCAGTGGCATGGTGAAGGCTATTTTGCAGTCAACAAATACCATTCCTGTCCAATGAAATTGCGCAGCTTACATCCACTCAACATCCATTTGTAGCTGGACAGTCCCAGCATGTCTTGTTTCAGATCTCCGGCTCCTCAGTGTTCAGAAACAGACCTGAAGAGTCACCCAATGCACTTGAACGCAACCTTTGCTGCGTGATGCTGGTAAACAATCCTATCAGGTGATGCTTGTCTTTGTTTAAGACACTTACCCTTTGCTTAAGGGAAATTGCATGAGAAAGGCAAGTATGGAAGATAGAAGCACAATTTTAGCTTTAAAGGAGGAACGTGGTAAAATGCAATGGTGGCTTTGAGTGACTAGAATAACAGTAGAATAAAAGAAAGAATATCTTGAAGTTTCCTAGGCAGGAACGCCAGGCTGTCCATGCACAGCAAGCAGATAGGAAATGGAAATCCATTTATAAAGAACGAAAGAGCAGTCTGCATTACAGGTAGAGGTGAAATCGAGATGTAAAAGGTGCCCATCACACTGGTCACCTCCGTTTGAAGACGCCTCTGCTGGAAGTGCATGTGTCTGCAGGTAGAATCTTTCAGACTCTGCCATGTAGCTTTACAGTACTGGTATGGCAGCCCACCAAACAAAAAAACCACCGATGCTATTAGCTAAAGGAGATGTGGGGGGAGAGCCTTGTCAGGCATCACTTTGGCACTAGCGAGCTCATCGTGAGTCATTCCTGGCCGTTTTGTCACAGGTGGGAGCCGCTCAATCTGCCTCTGAAGTCACACGAAAAAATGCGAAGCCTCATGGTGGAACCCTGATTGGCCATTGAGTATAAAAGCAGGAGTCACACAGTCTCTTCTTACCCGACTTGTAACAGCCAATCAACACTCCTCTTACATTCTAAAGCCTAGAGATGACACGTCATCCCCAGGTGCCTGATATAATGCATAAGCCAGACTGCAAGGGCGTTGCATGCTCATAGTTTTCATCAGAGAAGAGCACCACCTGAACCTGGGTCTGCGGCAGAGAGGGAGCAAACCCCTTCTGTCCTTCCTTCTTCCTCCTTCCTTCCCTGTACCCCCTGAAAATCTGAGACTAGCTGGAGGCAGAAGCGTGACCCTCTAGGGCCCATGGGACCTACCACTGGACAACACTGTAACTGTCACCTCATCTGAGATCCACAGTGGAATGGAAGGCGCAGCCAAGGTGGAGAGCATCCAAAGATGAGGCGAAGGAAGTGGGAGAGGAAAAACTCAATCATCCACATTTGGGTTTCATTAGCAAAACCCAGAGAAGTGCTTAACTTGTGCTGGCCTCTCCCTCGCCCTCTTTCCCACACTCTCCCATATGCCCTGGGATCGAGGACGGCATCCGGCGCCGGCACAAGTTCTCAGCGCAGGAGCTGCTGGGATACAGTTCTCCTAAGAGGTCTCCCACATAGACTCTGCCATGCACACGAGCAACAAATAAAAATCAGATTTTCTGCAAACGTCGAGAGCGTTGAAAAAGCACTGCATGAAGGAATGCAAGTGAAAAGATGTTTTGGATCGTAGACCGTTGACACACTGCATCATCGTAAAGCACCCACGCTAGGACGGAATTTGATCATCCTGGCGAGTCTGGGGACATGTGGCTGCAATTGCGTGTTTCTTGCTTCTGAATGCCTGTACGTGTGCGGTATGCGCCAATGCGCAGGGAGGCCCAGAGCAGAGACGAGCAGACGGCAAACCCGCCGGAGCCGGACGCACGGTTTATGTTCATCTTCTGGGCAGGTACTGACACCCCCGCAGGGTGCCCACCACACTTAGGAGACTCCCCAAGAGTACGGCACCAGGGTGCGCTCAAGCATGACTCATGACCTCATTATTCCAGCAATGCGCACACTTATAAACAGACAGTTTGTAAGGACAAGTTATAATATTAAACCTGAGAATCTCTTCAGGACAAAAGCAAACAAAGACCTATTATAAGGCCAACAAAAGTAAATAGAGAGATGAGCTGACCTCTGGACCAAAGCCACAGACTTGTAGGAATTATCACTGCGGCCATAGCAACTACAACCAGGCCCACGATGGTCACCATCTGATCTGTAGGGATTATCCTTGGGCCTCTGCTGATAGTCGCCAGGCCCCTGGGGTTTACCACAGCTCACCATGAGGTGTTTGTCCCTGGACCCAGAGTCTGTGCAGAGGACAGTTCTCTAAATAAAATAAAAAGCAGATTTAAAGTGTACCTTATTTTAGTATAATACTGTAAGGAAGAACAGGAAGCATCAATTCCCAATGAAACAGAAGGTGTGTTAAAACTCAGGCCTGACCCCCTACTGTCCAATAACTTCCAGAGATTCCCAGTGCAGCTGGAATACAGCCTTTTGGTTTGAGACATTGAAGACAGTTGGCTCATTGAGACTAATGTTCAGGAAGACAGGAAAGGTGCCACCTCGGCAGCTGACAGACATACGAGGGGTTGGGCGAAAGGTTCAAATGTCATTTTCAAGTACAAGAGTCACAATAATGAGCTATCAGGTGAGTTAAGTCAGTTTAACTTAACCTCGACATTGAAGGTAAGAAACACTCTTTCCAAATACAGGGTCAATGGTACTACAATGTTTGTCCGCCTGAATCTGTATCCCATCTGTTATTTCTGATGTTAAGTACTGCCGGGGAGATATATATATGTCATTAGATCTTTCTGATTCATGGTTCTGTGATTTCAAGTGTTGACTCATTAAGAAACAAAAGCCACAGAGACACATGGGATGCAGACATGTCTTCCTCTTAGCGAACAGGTCTCTCTTCAGAATAGCCCTTTTTGTGGGTTAAACACATTTTGTCATGGGATAAGACTTTCGGAGTTTAGCAAGAGACTCCGGGGAGCACCCGCCCATTAATACAATTCCAGGCACACAGCCAATGATGGGGAATTTCATCAGCGAGGAATAACCTTCTTCACCTCTCTACTGGGCCTAGGAGTCTTCAGAGCCCCCTCAGCTCCTGACACTCTCGCCCCAGAGAGGGAGCACGCATGTTTGCCGCCATCTCAGACTAAACGAAACTTAAATGGCTTCACCCTTGAGGCAATTCATTCCTCAGGAAATCAAGTGATATCAGCGTTCAGCAATGAAAAAGATCTTTTGAGACCCAGTTATGTTTTAATAACCATGCGATAATTTGCCCAGCATGAAGTGGGACTGAAAGACAGAAATGTGTCTTTCATTGGGAGACAGATGGACTGAAGGAAAGGCAGAAACAGCCTGCAAGTCCACACAGAATCAAAGGCGATACAGCGAATGACAAAGCGTGGCAGCATCTGTGAACTTCTGTGGGTCAGATTTCGGACCTCCCAGCATTCCATTCATCCCCCGGTCCTGTTTGGGATCTAACGCAAATTCAAACTGCAGAAAAGCACTAGACTGAAAGCAAAAACATCAAACAGATTTTTTTAGTTGGCCAATGGCAATAAAAGACAGGAGTGGCTGCATCTTTGTCCTCCCGAAAAAAAAACCAACAAATAGCCATGGACTCGCTTAGGATATTTACAGCTTTCATTTGATACATTTATAGGAGTGTTTGGGAGCATGATGTATATTAAAAGCACCACAGAAACTCATAACTTTGCCACGAGAGCCATTTTTGGCCCCATTTGATTTCTCAGGAATATGTGCTCCCTCATCTCACCACAACCTTTCTGGTGTGGTGGACATTTCCAGTCGGCCTCTCGAGCATGTCCATGCATTTACTCTCAGGTTTTTCTTTGAGGTCCTCACACATTAACACGCCTTACATCACTTCTGCAGATAAACACTCTGTGAGCTCCCTCAGGTCACAGAAATCTTTCAGGGGTTAGGATACATTTCCAAGTTAATAAACTGCCCACTCATGTGTTCCCAAGACAACAACCCTAAGCCCTGCAGAAACGGCGCCATAGAGGTCAAAGCTCCTGCCAGTGCCCAAGCATTGGGGGCCGTTTTATTTATTTGTTTGTTTTTATTTGCAGAGATTTGCGTTTCCCCAGTCCCCACAAAAGGCCGGAGACTTCATCAGGGGCTAAAGAGCTGTGTGACTAATTGCCCTGCACTGACACTCGAGCAGTTTGCTATGATGAGCCCATCACAGGACTGTGCAAATTACCATCCACCTCTAGGGAGTCTGGGAAATCGCCTCCCCCCCTTTTTGTATCTAATCACATTTGCATGACAAAGGTATGGCTTTCCAATAGCCAGGGTCCTGTCCGTGTTCCTGGCTCTCTGTTCCCAAGGCAGCCCTATTGATCCCTGATTTTTCCGCGCATACCGCGTATGCCCAGCGCGGTGAGAGTCTGGGAATGTGGGGAGCTGGATTAGTTCTGCACATTAGCTCTTTTTAATGGGGAAAATCGGCCAGTGTGTGATCCCTAATGGAACCGGCCTACAAATTAGACCGGGCCTCCTCAGAGCCTTGCTAAACACATACCAATCAAGCACACTCATTAATACTTCAGACTAATTATTCCTTGAAAAGCAGGATGAACATTAAAAGAAAGGTTTCCTTGGAACTGGTTTACCTGGACACTACCAACATTGCATTTCCTCTACATTTTTATCCAAGCACCAGCCATGGCCTTTGACCTCTTACCTTCATTACTGTTTGTTTGGATTAGTGCATAGTGGATTTACTAATGCTATGTGTGCCTGACGGTGCACTGCAGGTGTTCTGTAGCCTACCTGAATGAAGTTCTCTAGCTTTGCCTTGGCTTCTGCCAGGGTGGGGTCAGCATGCCTCACCTTGACCTCGGGGTTCAGCTTCTGGGCCTGCAGTCCGTTGCCAACCACATGACCTGTGTAACTGAGAGAAAACTCCAGTTACTGCTAACTGCAACTGCACCCACCAAAGCTCAGGGCACTATATCATATACATCATGGTGGGTAGCATTTTAGCATCGCTCCCCCCCCCCTCCCAAATGTGGCTGGGGTCAGATCTCACCCCCGGTCCGCATGTGAGATATTTGCACATCGTCTACCATGATTGTTCCAGAATTCAGTCAAAAAGCGTGCAGTTAGGTGAAACGGAATCTCAATTTGATAAATTAAGACACAAAAAATCATTATGTTTAATGTTTTTTTTAGATAAGGCTATTTGCCTCTGACCTGAAGAGTGGGGACCCCACTTACATTTCCACCACTGATTATAGGATTTGCAGGAAACAAATGCTTTAAGCTTCATTTTGCTTTAAGTCATTACTGTGACTTTTGAGAAAAATGAGGGTGAAATTGACCCATGTTTTATGTGAAGAATCCTGTAAAATCATTGCATTTCAATGGATAATTTCAGTACAGTTTTCTTAAAAAAAATCACAACATATATTGACAAAAAATAAGAAATATCCTGTATTCTATGAAAAAATATATTAATGTGGTATTTCTGGACGTAAAAGTTGGATCTGTAGCATTTGGTCTAGTTTGTATAGTATCCCCCAGTCAATGCCCAATGCCAGTTTGTATACTATCCCCCAGTCAATGCCCAATGCCAGTTTGTATAGTATCCCCCAGTCAATGCCCAATGGCAGTTTGTATACTATGCTCCAGTCAATGCCCAATGCCAGGTTGTATACTACCCCCCAGGCAATGGGCAATGCCAGTTTGTATACTATCCCCCAGGCAATGCGCTATGCCAGTCTGTATACTATCCCCCAGGCAATGCCCAATGCCAGTTTGTATACTATCCCCCAGGCAATGCCCAATGCCAGTCTGTATACTATCCCCCAGGCAATGCCCAATGCCAGTTTGTATACTATCCCCCAGGCAATGCGCTATGCCAGTCTGTATACTATCCCCCAGTCAATGTGCAATGCCAGTTTGTATACTATCCCCCAGTCAATGTGCAATGCCAGTTTGTATACTATCCCCCAGTCAATGCCCAATGCCAGTTTGTATACTATCCCCCAGTCAATGCCCAATGCCAGTTTGTATACTATCCCCCAGTCAATGCCCAATGCCAGTTTGTATACT